GAAGGCCCGTTTTTCGGCCTCCCGAGGCTGCAGAGGCTTCCCTTAAGTCTCTGGGAGGGTGAAAACAGGCCCGTTTCGGCACTTCCGGTATTTCTGGAAGGCCCGTTTTTCGGTCTCCCGAGGCTGCAGAGGCTTCCCTCAAGCCTCTGGCAGGGCGAAAATGGCCTCAAGCGGGCCGAAAATCAGGTGGGAGCCGTGTGCGTGCACAGTGCAGGTAACTTTGGCTGGGGCTCGGATGCCCACACAAATGGCTCTGCGTGCCACCTGTGGCACGCGTGCCATAGGTTTTGCCATCACCGTTATAGGGTCTCCTGCTTGGGTGGCAAGTTGGACTAGATGACCTACAAGGTCCCTTCCAACTCTTTGTTATTCTATATTCTATTCATCTGGATAACATGGACACGGAGGGGTCAACGAGGGGGGAAAAAAAATGAGGACGGAAAACAAAAGGGAGACAGCCCAATGGTCAGTGGTTTACGGGAAGCCAGAGAAAGGGTTACATTTGCTAAGCACTCATGTACCCCCAACAGAGACTAACCCAACCCAGAGAGGCATTAATCGGTGTCGTTAAAACAACACGAACACAGACACAACACACACACACACACACAAAACACACACACACGAGAAGACAGGAAGGAAAGGAAGGAAGGAAGGGAGAAAAGAGAGAGGATTAATCACGTCAACGCAACCGAGCCGACCTGGCATGGAAGAATGCATCTCCTCAATCTGTCCTTCAGCAGAGGTTACAGGCAAAACAGCGGGCAAGCTCGGGCTGGCATTCAAAGGGTTAAAAGCATTGGCACTGAGAGGAGCGGGCTCGTCCCACCGATGGTCATATTTACCCATGAGAGCCTTTCTGATAATGGCCTCCAGCCCCATGTTGGAACTGGGGTTTTCTTGGACCGCCTGGCTCCTACAACTGATTAACCCTGGGGGGGGGGGGAAGGGAGGGGGGGAGGGGTTGGGGGGGGGGAGGAGAAAAGGGGGCGCCGAGGAAGAAATCGGGGAGGTGGGAGGGAAGAGAACAAAGGAAGGGAGAAACAAAACGGTCAGCACATCCTTGAGAAACGACACAACGCCGCCGTTGTGTTAATTCTTCTCTTCCCCCGCCAAACCCTGCAAGGCAGACCATGCTTGGCCTGGTCCCTAAGTTCTGGAGATGTTTCCCAGGGAAGGCAGGAGGAGGCATGGACTCCGTTTGTTTCTGGAATGCTGCGTTGGGTGCGCCCGTCAACCGCATGGTTTCTTTCTCAAGGCTAAAGGGCGAGGAGGTGGGGAGGAAGCTGGCTTGCACTCAAAGTCCCCTGGCACGGCTTCATCTTGGCTTTGGGAAGGGGTGCCGAGACTTAAGTGGCTTCAGATGTTACCCAGGTTTGTGGT